GATAGTGTGGTGGAAGCTATAAACACCCAAGGCCCTTTTATAAAGAGCAAGGATTATGTTCTGGCTCTGAATATTGTGAGTTAGTAAAAATTTTTCATCTATTTTTACAAATATATTTATTGTTTTCGATACCAAAAATTAACGTGAAATACAAAAAATGTATGAGTTATTAAGTTAAGGAGACTTTATGCAAATATTATTATAAATTGTATTCTATAAACAGACTATGCTACATTTGAATGCATTTATGTATTTATGTTTTAGTTTTTTTAATGTATCTGTGACATTTGGGATCACTAGTGAAGCCAAGGTTATATTAGCCTTATGTTATAGACTCAAATTTTATTTTTTTCGCTTTTATTTTTCATATTTCAAAAGACAAACTCCAGTACTCCATCTTCAAATAAAATTATTACAACATATCAAGAACTAAAAAGTTAAACAAAAATATGCTTTATAAAAGACCCATAATTATAGTAAAATAATCGATATAATTAATAATTAAAAACGTAATAATAAAAACTTAGCAGATAATAGAGGTCGATTTAAAGGTACTCACCATCACTAACTATCAGTGTGAAAGGCTCACTTTTATCACTATAACCAATCTCACACTGATAGAAACCACTGTTTTTCTTTTCAGCTGATATAATTATATAGCTCTTGTATTCATACATATTCTGACTGTTCTTGTACCAGCGGTGACTCTGATATGTTTCTTTTGTAGGATTACATGTTGCAGTTATTGATTCCCCTTTGAATATCTTTCCTGTGTTTGGTACGACTGTAATAAAAGGACTGGCTCCGGCTCCTATAAAAACAATTATACAGTAAGGTTAAAATAAGGATTGGTCCTTTTACCTTGTTTGCAGGAAGTTATGTTTGATTAAAGGTAGGAAAGAAAAACAAAGAATAACAAAATGTATACATTTATACTCAGGGACAGCGCTTGCATTAGGCCAAATAGGCAGTGGTCTAGAGCATTTTTTCCCAACCCAGTCCTCAAGGCACACCTACCAGTCCAGGATTTAGGGATTACCCAGTTGTGTCTAAGGTGTTTTTTTTCTTCTTTGTAAAAACACCTTAGACACAACTGGGTAATCCCTAAATCCTGGACTGGTAGGTGTGCCTTGAGGACTGGGTTGGGAAACACTGGTCTAGAGAGCTCTCCTAGAAGGGGTGCCTGCACGGGCTGTAATTCTCATCTGAAACCCCCATGAGATTCACTGCTCCTGCCATCCTCCGCTCTGCAACATGCTTTAAACACCGCATCTCGCTAACCTTTGTAACTCCCACAAAACCTTAACCACGCTCCTACTGTACAGTATATAACCCCACCTGACATTTTTTAACGTCACCCACAGTCTGACTCTACTCCTCCTCCCAAGACCCTACTTACAGTCATTTCCTTTGAAGAGGAGGGCAGAGCTTCCCCATGTTTCTCCCTTTGTCCTGTGATCCTGTCCTGTTTCTGCACAGCCTGTGGGAGGGAGCACATACAGACTGGAAGCTTGGCAGCATAGGAAGTCCTACACTGAGTGACTGGGCTGATTCCAGC